ATGCGAATTTTGTAATTTAAAAAATTTTAGTACCCAACTTTGACAGGCCATAACTCGCAAACGACTTGGAATTGGGAATTTTTTTTTTGCATGTGTTCATTATATAGATAGATCAACAATATATAAAATTTTCAGCCAAATCCAAGAGGTGACCCGGACCACTTTTCAAAAAATTGGTTGATTTGACACGGAATGACCCATTTATAATCTGTTTTGGAAGCTTTGAAAAGTAAAAACAATTGGTTAAATATGGACATTATATTGATTTTTAAATGTATTCAATCAACTGCCAATTGCAGTATACAGTAGTACCTGTATATTGGATTCCAAATTTAACATGGATATCATTTGTGTACTGTATACTGTATGCAGAATCTCAGAGAACGTTGACTTTATTTTATAGAATTTTAAATTTTGATGGATATTTATAAATTTGTGTCACATAGATGACAGAACAATGTGTGATTGAATTAGTGCAAATCTTTTACTAAAACTATCTATTTAATTCTGTATGTCATTCAGTTTTAATAATACTATAATCTACTGTTTTTTACTAAAGTATAATAAATATATATGGAGGTTATTTGTGTGTCTATGTACTCAATTTATCCGAACAGTAAAAGGTAGGAAAATAACTCATAGCTCGCAGTATCATTGTCAGATCCAGGAATTTGAAATAGAGGGGCCCAGAGGAGGACTTCCACAGATGGAGGCTCTATTGTCAGACCCACTATGGTTGGGGCTGAGGTAAAAAAAAATTATAAATATGGCCCTCTAGATGGCTGGAAAAGGCACCCTTAGACTCAAAATTTGAGTAGAATTTTATTTTGAAAAATTTAATGGGGGCACGGGCCCCCTTGAATCTGCCACTGATTGTGCCGATTTGCGTATTGGCGTGGGACGTGGTCCGTGACTACTGTAGCAGACGTAGAGAGGTGCTGAGTTCACATCATAGCGTCGTGATAACCCCCTACTCTTTAAAAAAGATGCAGTGGGTTCTTTCAAGTGCACACGAGCCACAAGCCAGATGTATATACTGAATCTCCTATTTTGTAAATCCTTATCTGAGGAGACTGTTTTATTTTGTTTAACCAATCGAACCAGCACCGATGTACAGTAATTAACAGTGCCCTTGCCTTACCGCTCGACTACACAACTCACCCACCTCACCCACATTGCATGAAGATGCCTGGGAGATTGTACGATACCCAGTGTCACTATTTTCTCCAGAATCGTTCATGGGATAGTGCCGTCATATCATCACTATCGCTCCCGGCATTTATATAGCGTCTTTCTTTTCAGATACTAAGCGCCACCACCCGTGTTGCGGCTCAAAAAACCACAGAAAGTATACGCAGCTGCCCAAACAGAGAAGAAAATTCTCAAATTAAGCATTGGTGAAAATATTTTAAAAATCACATGAACCTTCATATCATCTATCTGTATATTGTGTATACAATGGCCCATATTTCTTTACATACATTTTTGCTGAACAGTATCATTTTTATTATTAATTTATTATTAATATTCTATCATTTTTAATTTGTAAAAACGGGAATACTATACAGTATCATTTGCTGGATAGTTTATTTTCATTTTCATATAAAAACCATACCATCATCTTGGATAATCAGTGACCGATCTAGGATTTAGCAGGGGGGGGGGGGGGGGGTGGATAATGGGAGGTGAGAAGAACCGGGGAGGGGGAAAGGTGATTTTAGGATGGGCGTCCCCTCCCATTTGTGGTTTGTTTATAATTAGTAGACTGTTAGACGATCTTAAATGGAATCTGAAAAGAAGCAAGCTTAAAATAGAAAGTGCATGTTTTACCAGAGTAAACGAGACAGTGACCATTATTTTTCTTTTCACGGTAAATGAAGGTGGGTGTCTAGCCACCCTATTCACCCCTCTAGATCCGCCACTGCAACTACCACTACTGCTGAGCTCTTTTATGGGTACATCCAAGTGATATTTTATAGTACTGTAGATACAATGTTCTGACCTGGTTTCTTGAGCAAAGGGCAGTTTAACTCAGTCAGCAGGGAGTCAAAATGGTCCTCAGAAAGGCACAAGTTCTTCCCACAGCAGCCTCCTCTCTCTACTTTATTATTATATTAATTTATAATTGTTAATTTACTTGGAATTTGTACATTAAAATGGTTAATTATTATTTATGTAACAATGAAACCTACCCCCACCCTCTCTATATTGAATGATATAACTTATCACCTACCACCTCCGGTAGATGCAGCATAATGAAAGTACGTATGTGCCAATACAGATCCTTGATCTCATAACGAGTCTTTGGATATTTACTTGTCACAGCATCTTTCATGCCATTCACAACCGGAGATGTGTCCTTGACCCCATTCTCAGCAAAATTCCTCATGGTTCTAACAGATTTGTCGAACTCTTCTCTCCCATATGCTTCCTGTACTTCTGGTTTCATTCCATTCCACAATTTTGTCGACAACCTCTTGATGCTCTCGTCGGTGAAAATATTTGTGGCAGCAATAAAATTTCCTGGTTCTATTATGCTGACATGTACACCCCATTTCTTCATTTCGTAGCGTAGACATTGAGAGAAGCCCTCAACACCATACTTTGATACAACATAGGGAGAGCGACCAGCAGCACTTTGCCTTGCAAGCCCACTGGCTACGTTAACAACACGGCCTAGAAGTGAATAAAAGAAAAGTTATTAAACTTGTGTAAACCAACAGCCATGGGCTGTGAAAATTTGAAACATCAATAATGACGTACACACTGAAGTAGCAGCACTACCGCCCCTCCCCCACCACCACTTCCCCTTCCCCTTCATGGATCTTTGACATTGATGAATAAACTTTGACTTCCATGATAAATCACACTGACCTTTGGCTTGCCTTATCAAAGGCAAAAATGCTTTAGTTATTCTTATTGTTCCAAACAGATTAACTTCAGAAACAAATTTATAGATTTCCATAGTGTTCCATTCGACCTGGCCAAATGTTGAAGTTCCTGCATTATTCACTACAGCCCACAAACCTAAATAAAAGATAAACAAATTGGAAACACTGTCCAAAAGATATCTTTTTGTGATTATGTATTACTTTAAAATTTTTGAGTAATTTATTAAGGAGATAAAAACGCTTCTCTGGATTTCACCTTGATAAATACATGAATATAAAATATCTTTATTGGATAAACTTAACTTCCTCTAATAAATAACATTCCACCTGGATAATTTTATCCCTTCCCCTAAAGCCCCTTTCTGTAACCTATTTCGCCACAACCCAAATTAAATGACAAGTACTCAGATACGCCCCTTCAGACCCGAAGGCCAAATTTATCCCCTGCTTTTTTAAAATTCTTTTGGTAAACTGATTAAATAATGGTATAATTTGAGTGATTAAATTACGGCCATTGTTTTATACATGTATAGTGGAGATCTTTTGTCAACCAATTAAAAGATACCATTTCATTCATAAAAGATTCTTCGTATCACCCACAAAATAAATTTAAATACCATAAAAATGAAATGAATATAAATGAATTACTCATATAACAGAACCACACTAGATATCAAATCTTTCAAAAAGTTACAGATCGAAAAAATCAATGAAACAGACGTTTTACTAAAAAAATTTTTATGAGGGCAGGGATGTGAAAATAGCAATTAATTTCATTTGACCTTAATACCAAACACACCCTTTATGTTCTTTAGTTTGAGACTCTCATCAATTATCTGAAGGGCATCCTCAACTTGCTGATCACTGGTCACATCAAGCTGGAGAATGATTAAATTAGATGAAGTTACAGTTTTCAATTTCTGTGCTTGCTCTCCATCTTTGAACAAACAACCTTGAAAAAAAAAATGTTTTCAAGTATGAAGTGCCAGAAACATTTATCTTTTCTATTCTCATATATTATCTGTTTTTCCTTAATCTTTTTTATTTTTAAATAAGCTTTATCAGCCCTAGATATATGAGGATGCCTCCTATCTAGTCCGATTCCTAGCCTAGGACGTACCTCTCTCTAGCCTCTAGTATATGCCCTACCAGTGGCGTATTGTTAAAAATGCTCACTAAACTCCGATCCCTAATCACCCCCAAAACACCCACTATCATCAAGCAAGCATCAAGCAAGCAAGTAGGGCCTACGTAATGAGAGGAGGGGGGGGGGGATTTTTTGTGTATGGAATGCCAAAAAGACAAATTACAAGTGGCACAGTGCAAAAGTCAAGTGGCACATTGTAAATGTCAAGTAGCGCAATGCAAAACTAAAGTGGCGGCCGCCACTTAATTATCTGGTGGCCGCCACTTAATCATCTGGCGGCCGCCACTTATTTATCTGGTGGCTGCCACTTATTTATGTACTGTAGTACCCAGGTTGCAGTATAGCCTTAAATACAGAATAGAGAATGGGCTACTGAAGCGCAGGATTGTCCTATCATTAAATATCATTTTAATAAAATTATTGTAGTAACTGGTCATTAGCTACAGCTTTTAAGCTAATAATAGCAGTCATATAGCACCCATTTTACAGAATATGGCAATATCATTTCTGTAGCACATCAACTATTTTGTATGTGGTATATCTGCTATTTTATCACTATATCATAGTGATAAATGTCAACTGCTATAGCTGGGTTAAGCACTAAAAGGCATTATATATGGTAGTGCTTAAAAGCATGCTAGTAGCTGGTCACTATCTATAGCTTATAAGATCAATTATATAGCACCAATTTCACAAAATATAGCAATCACTGGGTTTAGCATTAAATAGCGATTAAAAGCATGTTAGTAGCTGTCACAATGCTTTAACTGCATTTTTGCTATACACTGTTGAAACCATTGAATAGGCATTTGCAATGATAGGCATTAGGGTTAAGCATGCCAGCAGTTTAACCATTTAACATTGAATAAGCTTTTGTGACGATAGGGGTTAGGGTTAAGCACATCAGGCGTTTGTGCTGATAGGCTTTAGGTTTAAACACGTCAGCAGCTTACCGGTCTGTTGAAGTTATTTTGTGGGGTAGGGTTGGATCACATCAGCAGTTTACCATTGAATAGACATTTGCGACAATACAGTAGGTGTTAGGGTTAAAATATATCAAATAGGAAAAATAACTAGGTATTCATTGCAAATGGCCGGTGAAAATGCCTATTCATTAGCATACACAGTTCCTACTGGCAAATTCTGAAATGATTATTAACCCTATTAATATTCATTACTGCAATGGCTAGCATGAACCCCTATTCATTATTAGTGGACACAGTTCAAGACATGGTAAAAGGGCTGACATGCTCAACCCTAAACCTACCGTCACAAACGCCTGATGATGTGTTTAACCCTAACGCCTATTGTCGCAAATGCCTGTTTAATGACATTCTTTTAATCGCTATTTACAGTAATGCTTAAAATAGTGATGCTATATTTTGTGAAATGGGTGTTATGACTTCTATTATAAGCTATAGCTATTGTAACAGCTACTAACATGCTTATAATCGCTATTTAATACTTAACACTGTGATTGTTTTTTAATGGGTGCTATAAGACTGCTATTATAAGCTATGGTGACCAGCTACTACTAGTATGCTTTTATATCTATTTTATGCCCTTTAATGTTTAACCCTGCTATAGCAAACAATATCACTAGGAGTACTACAGTGTTACGTCACAATAGAAAATGACTACTCCGTTGCTATCAGTGACACAAAATGAGTTCAAACGGACAACCATTGATCTCAATTTCTAACATAATTATTAAGATGTTGTATCTTAGTTTTTCTTTGTAGATTTAAATAATGATTGGAAATGCGTGTTCGATAACTAATATAATGTGGTCTTTTGTGTTTTTAGTACATTTTGATGGTAGATTATTAAGTTTTAGAATGCCTATTCCAAAAAGCCTATTCTAAACCATTAAGATTATGAAGTCATCCAGGCGTGATGAATGGTAACCAACGTCTGGTTGACAATTCAAAGGGCGCCACCTGGTGTTGAGATGACACAACTGTTGTACTCTATGATTAAACAGCAAATACAGAACATACAAAACAGTTGATGCGCTACAGCAAAGATATTGATATATTTTGTGAAATGGCTATATGACTGACACATGATTATGGCAGCCGCCAGATAATTAAGTGACACGGCCGCCAGATAATTAAGTGGCACGGCCGCCAGATAATTAAGTGGCACAGCCGCCAGATACTTAAGTGGCGGCTGCACCTGCCGCATAATTATCCGGCGGCCGCCACTTAACTTAAGGACCTCCGAAATTCACTGGTACTGGTCGAACTAAAACAGACTTCCATAGCATTGCGCGCCATTTGACTATTGCACTGCGCCACTTGTAATTTGTCCTTTTGGCGTTCCATATTTGTGGAGGTGGGTGCGCAGTTATACCATGGAGGAATTCGTTTAAACTAATTCTCTCTGTGTGGTTAAAAAATCAAGTCTGAGATCATGCGAGATGTAATTAATCGCGCTAATGCACTTTCGCACCTAACTTTTAACTCTGAATTTTGTTACTTCAATGTTCTTCTCACAGTCACAACACATAATTATAAAAGATACCTTTATAAATTTATAGAGGTTTATACAGCGTTTCCGCGCTTGCTAGCACGTCGAGCTGTGCATTTTTTTTTTTTTTTTGGCTTTTTGCGAAAGTGTTAGCCGCCCCAGTTACCTGCATACACTTGGTAGCCGATGCCATCAAGAGCCTTTGCCAGTTGGTTACCGAAACCCGTGTCACAGCCTGTGATTAAAACAGCTTTCCCTGCAGCATCAACGTAGCCTTGTCTAAATAATGCTGTGTAGAAATACACTGTTATTAACAGCATTAAAAAAATCAGTGCAATTTCAAAAAACATGTCAATGAAGCCAAGCAGAAAGACGATTTCGTTTGAGTAGGCATACAATACAATATACAGGGGGGCGTCGAGCGGGGCGAATAATCAGAGCCATATCAAAGAGTATAAATAGAACAAGAGAGCAAAGTCCCGTTCGCGATTTTTTTTCCCGTACGAAACATTTGCATGAAACTTCACTCGGGCCATCTCGGATTGACTCGACTAAGTTCGATACGAGAAACAAGAGCAGACACAATCGCAATGTCGTGACGCTCGCGTTTTACTATCATTGCTCTTTCTATGTTTACCTACGGTAGGCCTATGATATCTTACGGATTTATGGGATGTACGTGTGTAACTAACTGTGACCTTCCTGGATGTTTATTAAATGTTAGTATAATATCTACAACAACAACAGCTAGTACCCCCTTTTATAAAGTGTTGATAGGTACAGTAATACCAGAGGCTAGAGAGAAAGAGGATAAACTATGGGCCTACTACAGGCTCAGTTAAGTCCTACCTAATAGGCCTAGGGTCCTAGGCTGACACCAACAGTCACGCTTTACATACAGACGTTGATTGAAATTTTGAAAAAAAAAATGGAAAAAAATTAAAGCATGAAATAAAAAAAAAAAAGGTGCATAGAGAAATATTATTAAATAAAATATACCATTCGGTGTGTTATTAAACTTGACCAACCTTGTAATGTAATTAATATTAAATAATAATAATAATAAAAATAATAATAATTTCAGCATTAATTACCTTGACCAAAGCCTTGTAATGAAGAACCATACTATTTACTAGGCCTATCTTTTGTGTTATTTCCCTTAACGTCGATGTTTTTAATTGTTCTCTAATTCCTCCATTGTCTAAGTTCCCCTTAAGGTAGGCCTACGGGTTGGTTTTAGTAACATAATAATAATAATTAATAATAATAATAATAATAATAATAATAATAATAATAATAATAATATTAATAATAATAATAATAATAATAACAATAATAATAATAATAATAATAATTTCAACATTAATTACCTTGACCTAAGCCTTTTATACTATTTACTAGGCCTATACGGTAATTAATAACTAGCCCAGGGGGAATATCTTCTGTTATTTCCCCTTAACGTCGATTTTTAATTGTTCTCTAATTCCTCGATTGTCTAGGCCTAAGTTCCCCTTAAGGTAGGCCTACATGTTGGTTTAGTAACATAATAACAATAATAATAATAATAATAATAATAATAATAATAATAATAATAATAATAATAATAATAATAATAATAATAATAATAATAATAACAATAATAATAATAATAATAATAATAATAATAATAATAATAATAAATAATCATTTCTACATTACATTTAATTAACCTGGTCTAGTCTTGTAATCAAGAATCTGCAGATTACTATGCCTGATATTAATAACTAGGCTTAGGCCTCATTTATACATATTCATTGGTGCTCTGCCATTTTGGCAGGTCTTATGGCATCCAGTATTTTAGAGCTTTCTCTTCTCTTAATTTGAAAATAACTGTCACCCTGTCTCATTTGATCAAACGCCCCGAGAAACGCGCTTTTCCTTACTCTCTGTGCTTTCCCCAGAATGCGTATATTTTTTGTAGTTTTTCTTAGGTAATTTAGTCCGGCAGCTTAGCAGATGGATGTGGACGTTCCGGACAAAAGCACCAAATTTTTTTTACATGCTCCTTATGGTCATAGCATTCAATTTTTGGTAGGAACCGCCTCATCCGAGGTCATTATGGCGGCCATCTTGGATTTTAAAATGGCCGCCTAATAAAACCTATGTTTATCTATATCTCCGCTTCTAAACCACTTGGAATTATAATTCTAATGTCTGAAACTATTTTTAGTCTCTTATACACATCT